CTGTGATGAAAGTGGGCATCCTTATCATGTTCTAGATTTAGAGAAAAGACTTTCAGTTTTTCCCCATTCAGTATGATACTAGCTATGGCTCTGTCATATATGGCTTTTATTATGTTGAGGTATGTTCCTACTATACCCAATGTTTTTAGGGTTTTTATCATGAAGGGATGTTGAACTTTATCAAATGCCTTTTCAGCATCAGTTAAAATGATCATATGGTTTTTGTTCTTCATTCTGTTGATATGATGTATCACATTGATTTGCATATGTTGAACCATCTTTCCATTCCTGGGATAAATCCCACTTGGTCAACTTGGTCATAATGAATCTTTTTCATGTGTTGTTGAATTTGGTTTGCTAGTATTTTTTTTAGGATTTTTGCATTGACACTCATCAGGGATATTGGCCTGTGGTTTTCTTTTTGTGATGTGTCTTTGTCTGGTTTTGGTATCGGGTAATACTAGCCTCATAGAATGAGTTTGAAAATGTTCCCTCCTCCTCTATTTTTCAAAAGTGTTTGAGTAGGATTGGTATTAGTTCTTCTTTAAATATTTGGTAGAATTCAGCAGTGAAGCCGTCAGGTCCCAAGTTTTTCTTTGCTGGCAGACTTTTTTACAACTTTGATCTTGTTATTGGTCAGTTCAAGTTTTGGGTTTCTTCATCTTCAATCTTGATAAGTGGTGTGTGTCTAGGAATTTATCCCTGTCTTCTAGATTTTCCAACTTATTGGCATATAATTGTTCATAGTAGCCACTAATGATTCATTGAATTTCTGCAGTATCAGTCGTAATGTCTTCCTTTTCATCTGATTTTATTTATTTGTATCTTCTCTCTTTTTTCTTGGTCTGGCTAAAGGTTTGCCAATTTTGTTATCTTTTCAAAAAAACCAATCTCTTGTTGATCTTTTGTATTTTTTTTTCATTTCAACTTCATTTCTGCTCTGACCTTTATTATTTCTTTTCTTCTACTAATTCTGGGTTTTGTTTATTGTTGCTTCTCTAATTCTTTAAAATGCATTTTAGGTTATTTATTCCAAGTTTTTCTTTGTTTATGTAGGCATGTATGTAAACTTCCCTCTAAGAACTGCTTTTCCTGGATCCCATCGGTTTTGGTCTCTTGTGTTTCCATGATCATTTGTTTCAAGAATTTTTTCAGTTTCCTTCTGAATCTCTTCATTGACCCAGTGTTTATTTAAGAGCTTATTGTTGAATTTCCATGTGTTCATATAGTTTCTAAAATTCCTCTTGGTATTGATTTCTAGTTTTACTCCATTGTGGTCAGAGAAGATGCTTGATATCATTTCAATGTTTTGAATGTTTTAAGACTTGTTTTGTGACCTAACATATGGTCTGTCCTTGAGAATGGTCCATGTGCTGAGGAAAACAATGTACATTCCACAGCAGTTGGATGAAATGTTCTGTAAATATCTATTAGTTCCGTTTGATCTACAGTACAGATAAGTGCAATGTTTCTTTGTTGATATTCTGTGTGGAAGATCTGTCCAATGCTGAAAGTGGGGTGTTGAAGTCTCCAGCTATTGTTGTATTGGGGTCTATCCCTCTCTTTAGCTCCAATAATATTTGCTTTATATATCTGAATGCTCCAGTGTTGGGTGCATATATATTTACAGTTGTTATGTCCTCTTGCTGAATTGAACCCTTCATCATTATGTAATGACCTTCTTTGTCTTAAAGTTTTTGTCATGCAATCTATTTTGTCTGATATAAGCATAGTTATTCCTGCTCTTTTTTGGTTTCCATTGGCATGGAGCATCTTTTCTATCTCTTTATTTTCAGTCTATATGTGTCTTTATAGGTGAAGTGTGTTTCTAATAGGCAACAGATCATTAGGTCTTTTTAAATCCATTCAGCCACTCTATATCTTTTGAGTAGACAGCTTAGTCCATTTACATTCGATCTTATGATTAACAAGTAAGGACTTACTCCTGCCATTTTATTTGTTTTCTGGTTGTTTTGTGGTCTTCCTTTCCTTCATTTCTTCTTTTCTGTCTTCCTTTTAGTGTAGGTGATATTCTCTGGTAATATAATTTAATTTCTTGATTTTAATATTTTTGTGTATTCATTGTATGTTTTTTAATTTGAGGTTGCCATGAGGCCTGCAAATACTATCTTAAAACCCATTATTCTGGCCAGGTGCAGTGACTCATGCCTGTAATCCCAGCTCTTTGGGAGGCAGAGGGAGGTAGATCACCTGAGGTCAGGAGTTTGAGACCAGCCTGACCAACATGGTGAAACCCCGTCTCTACTAAATACACAAAAAATTAGCCAGGCATGGTGGTGCACACCTGTAATACCAGCTACTCGGGAGGCTGAGGCAGGAGAATTGCTTGAACCTGGGAGGCAGAGGTTGCAGTGAGCCAAGATTGCGCCACTGTACTCCAGCCTGGGCAACAGAGCAAAACTCTGTCTCAAAAAATGAATAAATAACCATTATTTTAAGTTGATAACAACTTAGCACTGCTTGCATAAACAAACCAACAAGAAAAAAAAACAAAAAAAACAAAAACAAAGACTCTAACTTCATCCCCTCACTTTTTAACTTTTTGTTGTATCTATTTACATATTATCGTACAGTCTATGTCTTGAAAAATTTTGTTATTATTTATGATTGGTTCATTTTTTAGTCTTTCTATTCAAGAGAAGTTTACACACCACAGTTACAATGTTATAATATTCCGTGTTTATCTGTTTGCTTATGATTACCAGCAAGTTTTGTACCTTCACATGATTTCTCATTGCTCATTAACATCCTTTTCTTTCTGATTGAAGTACTCCCTTTAGCATTTTTTATAAGATAGAACTGGTGTTGATGAAATCTCTGAGCTTTTGTTTGTCTAGGAAATTTACTTCTTCATGTTTGAAGAATATTTTTGCCACAAACACTATTCCACTGTAAAAGTTGTTTTCCTTCAGCACTTTAAATATGTTATGCCACTGACATGTCATGTCTCTCCTGGACTGTAAGATTTCCACTGAGAAGTCTGCTGCCCAAGGTATTGGAGCTTCATTGTATGTTATTTGTTTCTTTTCTCTGCTGCTTTCAGGATCCTTTCTTTATCCTTGACCTTTGGGAGTTTGATTACTAATTGCCTTGAGGTAGTCTTCTTTGGGTTAAATCTGCTTGGTGTTTTATAGCCTTCTTGTACTTTGATATTGATATATTTCTCTAGGTTTGGGAAGTTCTCTCTTATTATCTCTTTGAATAAGCTTTCTACCCCTATTTCTTTTTCTACTTCTCCTTATGGCCAATAACTCTTAGATTTGCCCTTTTGGGGCTATTTTCTAGATCTTGTAGGCATGCATCATTGTTTTTTCTTCTTTTTTTCTTCTGTGTCCTCTGAATATATTTTTAAATAGCATGTCTTCAAGTTCACTAATTCTTTATTCTGCTTGATTAATTCTACTGTTAAGAGACTCTGATGCATTCTTCAGTATGTCACTTGTATTTTTCAACTCCAGAATTTCTGCTTGATTCTTTTTGTTTCAATCTCTTTGTTAAATTTATCTGATAGAATTTTGAATTCCTTCTCTGTGGTATCTTGAATTTCTTTGAGTTTCCTCAACACAGCTATTTTGAGTTCTCTGTCAGAATAGTCATATATCTCTGTTTCTCCAGGATTGGTCCCTGGAGCTTTATTTAGTTCTTTTGGTGAGGTAATTTTTTTTTTTTTTTTGGATGGTCTTCATGTTTGTGGATGCTCATTGGTATCTGGGCATTGAACCTGGGTATTCCTCATAGTCTTTCCAGTTTGGGCTTATTTGTACCTGTTCTTGGAAAGGCTTTTCAGGTATTCGAAGGGACTTGTGTGTTGTGATCTAAGCCATATCTACATTAGAGGCATCCCAAGCCCAGTAATGCTATGGTTCTTGCCAACTCATAGAGGTATCATCTTGGTGGTCTTGGATAAGATCTGGAAGAATTCTCTGGATTACCAGGCAGAGACTCTTGTTCCCCAAACAAAAGTTTATCTCTCTGTGCTGAGCCACCTGAAGCTGGGGGTGGGGTGACACAAGCACCCTTATGGCCATGATCACTAGGACTAAGCTGAGTCAGACCTGAAGCCAGTACAGCACTGGATCTTATCCAAGTTTCACTGTAACCACTATCTAGCTAGCTCCTATGTTTGTTCAAGGCCCTAATGCTCTACAATCAACAGGGAGCAAAGCCAGCCAGACTTGTGTCTTTCCATTCAGGGCAACAAGATACCCCAGGCCCTAGGCGGGAGATAGGGACTGAAGTCAAAATCCTTAGAGATCTACCTGGTGCTCTATTCTACTGGGGCTGAGCTGTCACTCAAACCATAAGACAAAGCCATTTCCATTCTTCCCTCCCCTTTTTCCAGGAAAAGGATCCTCTCCCTATCACCATTACTACCACAGACCCGCAGGGAGTATTGCCAGGCTACTGCCGATGTTCACTTAAGGCCCAAGAGCTCCTCAGACAGTTTGTGGTAAGTGTTGCCAGGCCTAGGACACATCCTTCAGGGCCTGGCAACATTAGGACACATCCTTCAGTCCAGAAATGCCATCCAAGAGCCAAGGCCTTGAATTAGGGACTCCAAGAGCTCACTTGGTGGTCTACCCCACTGTGGCTGAGCTGTTACCTAAGGTGCAAGACAAAGTCCACTTTACTCTTCCCTCTGCTTTTCTCAAGTAGAAGTAGTCTTTCCCCATAGCCACCACAGCTAGGAATGTGCTGGATCTCACCTAAAGCCAGCATGTCTCAGAGTCTCACCCAAGGCCCACAGCGTACTACCTGGGTATTCCTGCTGGTTATTCAGGGCCCAAGGGCTCTCTACTCAGCAGGTGATGGGTCTTGCCAGGACTTGATCCTTCCTTTCAAGGAAGGTGCAGTCCCTTGTGGCCCAGGGTATGTCTATTCATGTCATCTAGGAGCTAGGGCCTGGAATGGGGGCCTCATGACTCTGCCTGGGGCCCTATCCTGATGTGGCTGAGCTGGTATCCTATGGTGTAAGACAAAGTCCTCTTTACTCTTCCCTCTCTTTTCCTCAAGCACAAGGAGGGGTCACTTTCCTTGCTGTGAGCTGTGCTGCCTGGGTTTTTGGGACACGTGACACAGGTTCTCCCTTAGCCACTCTTGTGTCTCAGCAGATCAGGTGCCCCCCAGGTCCCCTGGCTCTGGCCCCAGCGCAGCACTGACGCCTTGCCTAGGAACCACAGTTCTTTGGCCTAGACTACCCTTCAAGTTTATTAGGATTTAGTCCAAGTTTATTAGGATTTAGTCCAAGTCCTTGGTTGAGGCTTGCCAAAACTCAAGTTCCAACAGCTGGACCATACAATTTCCCTCTGGCTAGAGCTGGTTCAAATGCTCCCTCTGTGTGTGGGTAGACTGTAGGGTCGTGGCTTAGTTGATTTCAGCCAGGTTTTGCTTTCTGCTCTGATAGGGCAACCCTGAGTTCAAATGCAAAGTCCCACAATCACCGCACTCTCCCTCCCCCAAACACACAGATTCTCTCTCCACGTCATGCAGCCACTGCCAAGGAATAGGTATCAGCAGTTCAAGATTGTCTTTCCTACCCTCTTTAGTGCCTCTTTCAGCAATACGAAGTTAAAACCAGGTACTGTGATTGCGTATCTGATTTTTGGTTCTTATAAAGGTGCTTGTTTGTGTAGATGATGGTTGTTAAATTTGGTGTTCCTGTGGGGCAGTGAAGCAAAGATCAGTGGAGGCTTCTATTTGGCCATCTTGTTCTGCCCTTCCCCAAGAGCATCCTCTTATATAACCCCAGGACAATGTTCAAAAGCAAGTAATTCACATCAATTTAATACCATTACTTAATCTACAGACCTTATTCAGATTATACCGATTATGTCAATAACGACCTTTTAGCAAGAAGGACATGCAGTACATCGGTTGTCATGTCTCTTAAATCTCCTCAAATTTGGAAGCATTCTTCTGTCTTTCTTTGCTTTTTCATAACATTACATTATTTTAAAAGTACAGGCCAGTTGCTTTGCAGAATATCCCTCATGTTTCAACTCAGAGTATGCTCTTTTGTCAGAAAATCTCAGAAGTGAGGCTAAGTTCTCAGTGCCTCCTATCAGGAGCCACATGCCATTGATTTGTCTCATTGTGGCACTATTACCTTTGACTACTTGGGTGAGGCCCTGTATGCCAAGTTTCTCCAGTGTAAGAATACTATTTTATCCTTAATCATATTGGCGGGGGGGGCTACTTTGAGACTAAATGTCCTGTCCTCCTCAAAATTTCACCCACTAGTCCTACCATCCATTGATACTTCTTACTGACATCAGTTATTATTATGATGGCTATCAAATGGTGATTTTTCTAGTTCCAGTATTTCTCGTATGTTTGTTAGCTGGTTTCCTACTTGTAAGGTAGAATGTTCCCTTTCCCTTTATGTATCTTAGTGTGAACTCGTAAGTCCTTGTTTTATTCAATGGGCTATAATGCTGTATATTAGTAATTATTTTAATACTCCAGTTGTTCCACTTTGGTCAGTAAAACCTCTACAAGTGGATTCCTGTGTCCTTTTAGAATGTCCCTGTCATTCTTCAAAGCTATCACTATTTAAAGGGAACTCTTTCCAAATGGGTTGAGTCTTTTTCTATATGCCCTTGACTTCCTGATGAATAAATACTCAGTTAATTTCTCTGCCTGGTTAGAAAACTCCTGGGCTTCTCTGGACTTCCCCCTTCCCCCACCTCCATTGCTACCCTCCCAGCAAGGAGGCTTCACCAATGACTGACATGCCATTAGCATGACCTTCTTTAAACACAGCACAGAGTCAGCCCCCAACACAAGGCTGCAGGAGCAGGCAGCAGCAGCAATGGGTGGACACAGCCATCCTAATGGTGTTTGTTTTTCCCCTATGTAAACCCAGCAGCGGTTGTGAAGGATTTGCCCTTCGTTGCCTGTTGCTTTTTTGTACGCCAAAGAGAAAGCAAATTTTGATTTTGCTCTGTAATAAAGGGTACCCAACAACTGAATTCTTACCTTTAAGCTAGCTGTTGCCAAAAGGGAGGCAATGAAGAAAGCTAATAGACTGCTCATTTTGAACCCAATCTTACATCAAAAGAGCATATTGTTTTCATTGCTGTGTATCGCATGCCAGACCCGGAGTATTTCCTTGTTGCCCCTGGACTTAGGAGAAGTCCTTGCTAAACGCAAGATGTAGAAGTGGGAGTGACAAATGAAAAAAGAAATGAATTAAACTTTATATGACACATCATATAAGGAAGAATAATTGTAGACACAGGCATGCAGGGGTTGGGCGTGAGTACATTAGTCCCCACCCTTTTCGTCAGCAGTCACACAACCTTGGACATTAGAGCCTATCCGTCTGATCTAGAGAAGGAATGTTGCTGGGGAAGGAAAACTCAGGGCGAGGTGAGAGAGGACAGAACCTCTAACCAGGAAGAGGCTGTCCCTGCCAAGCTCCGGGAGGCGCAGAAGCATGACCCTCAGGTATGGGACCAGGTCTATAGAAAACCCATGTGGGGTGCCCTAATGGGAGGCAAGCGGGGGAGGAACCAAACTGGAAACCTGATTCTGAAAGAGGAAAACCACCACAACATCCTTTGTAACTGCACAGCTTGGAAGAACAGTATAGATCCTGTGGTTTTCCTGGGCAAGGAGGGGAGTCTAAAAGCCACAGATGATATCTGTTTCCTTCAGAAGCAGGGAAGGGGCAGTTTTCGAGTGCGGCTGTTAAATCTCCGCAGTCACTTCATTTGGTTCAGCCTGCTCCTGTGGTCTTGGCTATAGCAACAGAAGGCGGGGATGGAGGGTGCCCCAGGGTCAGTCTTGATCAGCCTCTGAGGAGCTGGGAATGCAAGGTGTCACTCTGGATGTGTCTGCCTGTTTTTCCTTGCCTTCTTGCCTTCCTTCGTCTTTCCTCCCTCTTTTCTTTCCTCCTTTCTTTTGCCTTCCCCTGTACACCTTTCGAATTCACCATCGTAAAGTTGACCTGAGATTTTTCAATGAGTAATGTTTTATGATTGCTTCAGTTACATTATTACAATCCAGTCTGCCTTCCTTGTTTCTCAAACACTTCTAAGCTCTTTTCTCCTTTTCTTTGACCTTTTTGTTTGTTTGTTTTTACTACCTATCCTCCTGACCAGTTGTCATTGTTTGTTGGTTTGTTTACTTTTAAGGAGTCCAAGATAAACAAACTATTGCAGGCATGAAAAGGGTCAAGATTTCAGAGTGAATTGTGGAGGGGGAGGGTCAGGAGGGGAGGGGAGAGGAGAGGTGTTGAGGGAGGGGAGGGGAGAGGAGAGGAGTGGATGGAGGTGAGGGGAGAGGAGAGGTGTGGAGGGAGGGGAGGGGAGAGGAGAGGTGTGGAGAGAGGGGAGGAGGTGCATGTGCTGCTTCTCGCCTGTCCTATTTATCCAGCTCATCTATGAATTATTAGCAGAAAAGGAAGGTAAAGGAAGAGTAGAGGCTGGGGACAAAATCCTGGGCTTTGAAATGGGGTAATTTAAGAGTATTCTGAAAGGTACAATGTTACACATGTGTACACAGTCCATAGAGAGAGTGATTTTTCTCTCTATGGGACTGTTGTTGTACTTGGGGTTTTCTTTCAACTGTTGTCACAGCTGATAGAAATATGCCATTTAGCCCTTATTCCAGAACCAAGTCCTACTTGACATTGTTAATACTCTTGTTTGTATGCATAGGTTCTGGCAACTAGATTACATCTTTCTTGGATACTAGACCTCCATCTTTTTCTTTTGGCGGGGGTGGGGGGTGTTTTAATATGCTGTATCCAAACAGGGGTGGGTGAGACACCCCTGGTCTATGTTTATTATGAATGTTTGCTCATATGATCCCCAACAACACCACATAGTAGAAATATTATTATCCCCATTTACAGATCAAGTGACTGAGGCCCAAAGTCCCATAGTAGCAGGGTTTTCTGTCTCCTGAGCCCACCCTTGTAACACCTGGGTGACGTGGCCGGCACAAACTGGAAATGTCTTGATTGGTTGCAGACACACAACAGGTTCACTGATAGTGCTCTCATTTTTAATCTATAGCCATTAAATCGTTCATTCATTCCACATGTATTGACTGCCTGCTGTGTGCCAGGTGCTATCCTAAGTGCTGAGGATTAGGCTTGAAGAAGGGTGGAAAAGGTGGGTCACAAACAAACCTACGACAGAATGTCCAGTGGTGACACATGCTAGGAAGAAAACTGAACCACAGTAAGGAAAGAAAGGGTGGCAAGAGATGCAGGGCTGGCCCGAGGGACCCTTCCGCATTCCATGAGTCCTCCCAGGAAGAGTTAGAAGGACAAGGGGGGTTTGGTCCTCAAGCATGAAGTGATTTGGGGATGTTACTAGTTTTCTGTGCTGCTGCAGCAAATTACTACAAACTGAGGGGTTTAAAACAATGGAAGCGGCCGGGTGCGGTGGCTCATGCCTGTGATCCCAATACTTTAGGAGGCCGAGGTCGGTGGATCACCTGAGGTCAGGAGTTCAAGACCAGCCTGGCCAACATGGTGAAACCCCATCTCTACTAACAATACAAAAATTAGCTGGGCATTGTGGCAGGTACCTGCAATCCCAGCTACTCGGGAGGCTGAGGCAGGAGAATCACTTGAACCCAGGAGGCAGAGGTTGCAGCGAGCTGAGATCATGCTATTGCACTCCAGCCTGGGTGACAGAGCGAGACTCTGTCTCAAAAAAACAAACAAAACAAAACAAAACAAAACAATGGAAGCATATTCTCTCCCGGTTCTAGAGACCAGAAGTCTGAAATTGGTATCAGTGGGCTTGATCCAGGGGTGGGTATCAGGGATCAAGGTGTCACCAGGGCCACACTCTTTCCAGAGGCTCTAAGAGTAAATCTGTTCCTTGCCTCTTCCAACTTGGGGGGCTGCCAGTGCTCCTTGATTTGTGACCTCCTTGCTCCGATCTCTGCCTTTTTGGTCACATTGCCTCTTCCTCTTCCTCTTCTGTGTATAATCAAATGTCCCTGCACCTCCCTCTCATAAGCATTTGTTTAATTGTATTTCGAGTCCACCCAGATAAACTAGGCAGACTGTACCATCTCAGAATCCTATACTTCATCACATCTGCAAATACCTTTAATTTTGGGACTCAGGTGACATATGAGGTATTTTCTACAGGTTCCAGGAATTAGGAGGTGGATATTTGGAGGCCATTCTTCAGCCTACCATAGGGAGTTATTTGTGGATTTTATTTTTTTAATGTAAATCTAGTCCCTTTCAACTGACCAAGCCATCTATACTTCTTAAAAAGCACCAATCGTGTTCACTGTGGGCAAAAGCTTATGGAGCAGCATCCCTGGAAATTCATCCATGATTGAAAGAAGGAAGGAGGGACAACAGGGGAGACAGAGACACAGCCAGCAATGAACGATCTCTCTTTCTGGTGCCTGTGTTTCATGGAGACAGGGGACTGGGGATGCAGATTCTGTTTTGGCTTGTCTTTTTAAAGGCTGTAGGCCCGGCACAGTGGCTCATGCCTGTAATCCCAAACCTTTGGGAGGCCAAGACAGCCAGAGATCACTTGAGATCAGGAATTTGAGACCAGCATGGCCAACGTGGCAAAACCCTGTCTCTACTAAAAATACAAAGATTAGCCAGGCGTGGTGGCACCCACCTGTAAACCCAGCTACTTGGGAGGCCGAGGCAGGAGAATCGCCTGAACCTGGGAGGCGGAGGTTGCAGCGAACCGAGATTGCGCCACTGCACTCCAGCTTAGGCGACAGAGTGAGACTGTGTCTCAAAAAAATAATAACAATAAAAGCTGTAGATATTAGAAATGAAAAGTAACTTAGAGATGCTTCCATACTCACTTTTAGGATATTCTGAGGAAGGAAGAGGCGAACGTGGTCAGTCTTATATGAAGAGAAGATTTTGTTCCAAAGGAAATGATCAGGAAAAGCCCAGCTTGGGGAGGGGCCAGGGAACAGTGGGCAGGTGGGAAATGAATTCCACCTTCTGCCAGGAAGCCTAAGGGGGCATGTCTTTGAGCTAAAAAGAACAGGTCCACGAATCAGAGTTGAGATGTTGAGATTGACCCAGCGGCGGGAAAAGCAACACAGGATAAATTTAGTGTGGTTGAAGCTTGTGCAATGATTCAGGCTGTCACGCTCCTCAGTGTCTGAATCATGGGACACAATAGATCCGCCAGCTTATTCCAGCATCCTCTAACCCTTGAGGAGCAAATGCCCTGGCAAGGAGCCCGCTCAGAATCTCCTCCCGCTCCTGCTGCTGCTGCACAGTGGGCTGTGCCCTGGTGAGGTTCCTGTGTCCTCTGTAGAAGGTAACAGGTTAGGAAACGGCAGAAGTCCCTTCTCTGTCTAGCATCCTTCCACCTTCTTCTCCTCATCTGTAAAATGGGGATGAAACACATAACCCCAGGGTTGGGAGAAAGGTCTGACACAGAGGCAAGTGTCAGTGAACGTCTGAGAACGCTGAAGCAGTGATGGAAATGGGGTGTTCCTGGTTACCAGCACCCTCTCTGACCCATGTGGAGTTACCCTTTTACCAAAGTGTGTGACTATTAATACATTTTGAGACTCTAGGAAAAAAAAAAAAAAAAAGCAAACTTAATTCCTACTAATAGATCACTCACTGTTTTTTCTACCTTTTACGCTTTCTTTTCCAGGTGGTAACAGAAAACAATCCAGATGGGGTGCAGGTGCTGTAAAATAATACAAAGGTAAAGCTGGAGAAATACTGCTTCTAAATGGAGGAATTTGTGATGAGCGTGGAGTCACTTTTAAAGACCATGCATGTATTCAGAGCATTTATCCAGCTTGGGGCATGATCAACATTGCCAACACGTTAAGAGTTTGGAACTGTTATCATATCATTTAAAAGAACATGTGCCCTAGATTTTTTGTAACTTTTTTTGCTCACTTCTCAAAGCATGTTGGGAACACCATCATTTTCTGAGGCTGAATTTGGTCTGGGTTTCTGAGGATGCCTGAAATGGCATCGCTGAAAATAAATCACCCCAATCACATATGTGCTTTTAATTTTGTCCACACTGCATTTCATAAAACTGTAACATGAACATAAACTTCTAACTAAGATAAAGGGAAGAAAAGTAACTGATGATCTTGCTTTCTTAACAAATATACTGTCTTTTTAATTGTAGCTCTATTCTAGACCCATACATAAATAAGCTTTATTCCACTGTAATCATAATGTGATGTTTGGCTTTATTCAAAAAATATGTATTGTAAGTATCATTCCTGTGACTGCAGACTTCATATTTATCATTTTAATGACTGCATAATATTCCACTGAGAGGGTATACTCCTTATGGCCCTATTAGTGGACACTTGTTTTATTTATTGTTTTTTATTTTAAAATTCTATGAACCACTTTGTATTTTACTTTACCCCCTACCCCTCCTTCCTCCTTCTGGCTCTCTTCTTAAGATGTATTTCCGGCAGAACCTTGTTTTTGTTTTTCAAGACTGTCCTGCTCTGTCATCCAGGCTGGAATGCAGGGGCGTGATCTCAGCTCACTGCAGCCTCCGCCTCCCAGGTTCAAGCGATTCTCCTACCTCAGCCTCCCGAGTAGCTGGGATTACAGGTGCCCACCACCACACCCAGCTAACTTTTGTACTTTTAGTAAAGATGGGGTTTCACCATGTCAGTCGGGCTGGTCTCGAACTCCTGACCTCAAGTGACCCGCCCGCCTTGGCCACCCAAATTGCTGAGATTACAGGTGTAAGCCACCGAACATTTTTACCAACTATATCTGTTTGATTCAGACACACTTATCTAGGTTGAAAAGAGTAATCACAGAAATTAAATTAGCAGGTTTCGTAGAAAGAAGCAGGGCCTGTGGTAAAAATCTTTAATGATGGAGCAGACCTGACTGGTTTTTCGTTGTCCTCCCTGCAGCTATCTCTTTGATCCAGTTCAAGTGTCCTCTCCTGGCTATGTCAATGAAGTCAACAGCTGCAAGCTAGATGAAGACGACACTGATAAATTAAAAGGCAAATGGAACAGTGAAGTCCTGGTGCAGAAAAATGACTCTCAGAGGCAAGGCTCAAAAAAGACTGAGAGCAGCAGCAGGACAGCTAACCCACGGGAGCCCTGCTGGCCTCACCAAGGGCCGCTCCCGCAGGGGGATGTTGGAGGGGAACACCATGCCTGCGGCATCAATGGCATCGGCCCTGCTGCCGCTCCACAGCCCGCTGGGAATCCCAGCCCTGCCCAGGATGACAGGGGCTCCTGGACCAGTACTGAAAATACTGGAGTTCCCCCAACTCAACCCTTCCTGGAAGGAGGGGACACCAGGAAACAGGACTGTGTGCTGCTGGCCTCCGAAGGAACCCAAGTCATGAGAAATGGAGACTCCAGAGCTCCTTCTGAGGCAGAAAGTTTTGCCTTAGAAGTACAAGACCGTGTCTTCCAGATACCAGCCCCAGATTACCTTCAGCATTGGGGCCCAGCTGGAGACAACATTGACCATAATGAAAAGGACCGTGTTTTCAAGAACCATACTGAGGATGAGTCCCTTGAGGGAATTCAGCCCACAGTGGGGGAGCGTGGTTTGAATACGCCCTTCTCTGGGAGGAGAAGCTGGGATTCATTGAATGAGGATGTGGAAACAGAAGTTCTAAGCATCTGCTTTAATGAGAAGGGTCCTGCTCATGCCATGCCTGTGGTTGACTCAGGAAACAGGCAGGAGGATGCCCATGGCTCTGATGGAGACAGAGATGGGGAGATTGTGGACGAGGATGCAGCGGTGGCGGAGGCCCTTGCGGCTTTAGAGGCTGCTACTGCAGGAGAAGATTTGGATGAGGCTGATTAGGGGAGGGGATTTGCACAGGGAGGTAAGCTGGTGTCGTGCTGAGCATGCAGATGCATTTGCTCCCTGGATGCAGAGCAGGTGATTCTCCCAGCATGCACCAGTGCAGCCTGACCAGTTGTTTACATCCAGCATCTGTTCTGATTGTCAGCATCTGTCCCATGCTGCTTGTCACATATCTGGAGTTTCACTCTGTGTCGATGAGCTGTCATTCAGGACACTAGGAGAAAAATCTGAGTGGGTCATCGTGCCCATATCCACAGAAAGTGCAGAAATTGAACAGCTTGCTTGACAACCCTCAAACATCTTTGAGCACCTGGTACAGATGTTTATGAGAATACTCTAAGATCTCAACCCTTGATCCCAAAGGCACACAATCACAGAGGATTCCTTTTGACTGTAAACTGTTTACCTTGCTTTTGAGAGCCAAACATTGTACCCAACCTGGAAAAAGTACCCCAATTAAAGTGCCTCATGTGTCCCCAGAGCATGGCTTAACTTCAGGGACAATTCACCCAGGGAACTAAGAACTAACCGGTTGTTCAACAGCGGGTTAAGCTCAGCAGTTTTCACGGTAGAGCAGAAGTCCTCAGGAAACAAAAGGTTAGTCATTAGCTGAGATGTGATTTTAAAACACCTTGACCTTAACTTTTTTACATTATTACTTTTAAATCTCCTTTGGGACTGGGGAGGCTGGCCAAAATAGTCTTAAAACTGCTTGTGTCATATTTGGGTTTTAAGTTCATGACTTTCAGAACAGCAAAGCCATATATGCAATGTTTTTATGCCATTAAATGTCTGACTCTAATTAAAATATAACAACGTATGTGTCTTTCTGTCTTAACTCAAAGGTGGTTCTAATTTTCTCAGAATATCAGTGACCCTGGATATTACTTTCAATGTAAAGAGCTAATCTAGATGGCCGGGCACGGTGGCTCACGCCTATAATCCCAGCACTTTGGGAGGCCGAGGCGGGTGGATCATGAGGTCAGGAGTTCGAGACCAGCCTGGCCAACATAGTGAAATTCCGTCTCTACTAAAAATACAAAAAATTAGCCAGGCGTGGTGGCGGGCGCCTGTAATCCCAGCTACTTGGGAGGCTGAGGCAAGAAGAATTGCTTGAACCCAGGAGGTGGAGGTTGCAGTGAGCCAAGATCGCGCCACTGCCCTCCAGCCTGGATGGCAGTACGAGATCCCATCTCAAAAAAAAAAAAAAAAAAGAGCTAAGCTAAGCACAGTGGCTCATGTCTGTAATCTCAGCACTTTGGAAGACTGACGTGAGAGGACTGCCAAGGCCAGGAATTCAAGACCAACCTGTGTAATTTAGCGAGACCCCATCTCTATGAAAAAAAAAAAAAGAGCTAGACTACAAAATTATACTCAAGGAAGGGACCAAGTTGGTTTGCAGAGCCATGACTTTGGCTTTCTCTCTCTCAAGTTAAACTTGATGCCATAACTAAGTGTCCTGATCTTATCACAAAGATGAATGAAGCCCTCTCTGGATTTCAGCCTTCTAATTCATTGAAACAAGGTCAACCATTCTAACATAACTCAATGGAGAATTTAAAGGCATTAAGGATGCTCAAAACTATTTAGAAAAAAAAATAAACATGGAAGATGCTTTAGTTTGGTGTTTTGTAACACAGAATTGAAATTTCACTGAACTTCGTTTGATTTCCAGCTTTGCCATGCGACTTTGGGCAAGTTATGTATCCCTTCTCTTTACCCATCTGTGAAGTGAGAATGATAAGAGTATGTGCTTGTAAAGATTAAATGAAATGATGTGTTTAGCACAGTGCCTGGGACACTAGGCACTCAAAAATGATGTCTTACCGGTTGAAAACAATTCCTTTAAAAAACATTTTTACATCCTCACAACTGAAAACTCTTAATACTGGGAGGTGTATATAATGTCATCATTTGATTTTGATAATTATTTAGTATAAAACATGATTTCTGAGCCTTCCAGCACCTTTAAGGATGGCACCCTTACAAATGCTTAATGAACATATGTTACCCTGGGTTTGTTTGGTATTGTAATGACAAGCCATCGCAAGTGACCTCTATATACAGGGTCACTCAGAGTCCTTCAAAAGATAAACTCTTGGCATTGTTAATTGCATTAGAGGTATGTCTCCTTTTGTATTTAGTACAGCAAATACTTAATATTTCAGAATGCTTATTCCTTCAGTGACTTCCTAAGTGTATCAGTTGGGATTATGTTTGGTTGTATGGGATGAGTGTTTTATACAAATAGAGGTTTATTTACCTCCTATGTAAAAGAAGTCTGGAGTTAGTGATCCAGGGTGGCAGATACAGGGTATCACGGACCTGTGTATCAGTGACCCACGTATCAATGGCCCATGTGTCAATGACCGGCGTATGAATGACCCATGCTTCTTCAGTCATTTTGGTTTCCTTCTCAACGTCACTTTGTAGTCCAAAATGACTGCTGTGGCTTCAGTCATTACATTTACATTCCACGTTGGAAAAGAATAGGTCAAAAACCCCACTCCCACTCTATTAAGGACCTCACAGAAGTATAATTCATCCCTTCCACATATACCCTCTTTGGTCAAAACCTGGTCACTTGGCCACATCTAGCTGCAAAAGAGACTAGGAAAGTTGTCTTTCTAGTGGCATGCATGGCTTTGCGAAATAGACTCAGAATGCAGTGACTGAGAGGGGGAAATGGACAGTGCGTTTCGAGGCAGTCGGTTTACAGTCTCTGCCACAGGAGGCCTCAAAACCCAAACACCTGGGATACAGCTGGTCTCAAAAGATTAGAAGATTGTGTGTACATTCAGTGTGGTACCAAAGGGGCCTCCACCTTTGGTCCAGGGGAAGGAGGACTGGACAGCTACTGCTGCTCCAACTTCCCATTGATATCTCCAAACCTGACGAAAGAAGAAATTCAGACAAGGAACGGGTAGGGTAAGGTATTAGGGCAGACAAGTCTCTTTCTCTTACCCAGACACACACTTTTGCATTTACATATGTATATAATTTTACATCTTAGAACAGCTGCAGAGTTCACCATAACTGACAGCTCTCTAGTTTTAAAGATTCTCTTTTATGAATAACTTCTTCAAAAAGGTCGACAGATGGCCAGTACTTTCAAGAGTTATTTAAAAGTAATTCTGGCCCCTTTCATCTTTACTCCAATATCCAGGCTCCCCCAAAGGAAATCAGAGGAAAGGAAAAAATCTTTAGGCTGAAAAGTAATTCCAGCTTTAAGCCTTATCTACCAGGTTGTCTCACAGCGAGCTGTCTGAGCACGCTTGTGTGTGTAGTGTCTTCTTGCTGCAGCTTAGTGCCACCTCTTGTCAGAAAAGTGATGTTGAAAATAGGCAACCTTTTCAAACATTGTGGACAATTTGAAGGCACAGTGCACTCTGATAGGAAGCCACTAGCTGTGATTGGGGCGGACTTCACAGTTCTCCATGAACCTTAAGCAATTGCATCACATGCATATTTACCATGTTAAATCCTGATTTTGAATTAAGATTATTTTAGGTACATATTACACATAGGTTTCTTGAGCTAAGAAGTTAGATGTAACTTTTTACGGGGGGAAAATGAACTATCATATAAATATGAAATTAAATTTTTTTCCCCTCGTTGCCAAAGCTGATGTAGTGAATAGTTATAACTGGAAAAACCAGATACCCAAAAGAATGAAGAGAATTTTAGGTTTCTTACACAGCACATGCCCAACTGTCTACGCTCAGTAAGTGCTGGCCATTCGTCATTTTCCTCCCTCTGCCCCGCTCTGTCTCTCTGATTCTCTTCTCTTCCTACCTCTCCCATCCGTACCTCCAAGCAGGACGCCTTAGAAAGAATGAATGAGACACCAGATGCAAGTACGAGCGCAAAGATCTCCTGACTTCCCCGGTGTGGTCATCTGTGTGCAACCATGCAGCAGACAGAGCACAGTCACTACTGCAGCACAGGATGTAGCCTCCTTTCCTGGACTTGGACTTGACTCTTCATCAAGGGCACTGCTTTTCACACAACCAGTCTTTATGATGAAAATGTAGAAATTGTTGCTTTCTGGGTTTGTTTCATTTTTTTTTCTCTAGATTAAACCTCATGCATTTTAAAATCCTCTATTTTGGAGTTGGTGACAAACACAGATAAGCTGACATCTGTTTTTCAGGGTAAATTCTTTCCCTGTTAACTAATAGAACAATAAGTTGTTCATTTATGTATTTACTAAATTTGTAAGTTTCTTGTATGTATCAGGTTATAGAAAACACACCTAAGTGGTCTGCTAACTTCTGAAGCACTCCCAGCCACTTGAAGAAACATTTTATGCAAGTCAATATGTTGATCGTAGATGATGCTTACCTGCACATTTAGTCACTTGGAGTCAACTATTAGCAATTTTTTTCAACGGAAATAACTGTACTAAACAAATGCCTTTGGCCTGAGATCTAAGTTAGTGTACGGCACAAGGGGGGAACTTAATACATATTTGTTGATTGAAAGAATAAAATCTTTTCCCGGTCTGGCTGGGGAGACATCATGCAGCTAGCCAGGACTGTGCTGGATTGTGACATGGTGTAATAAAGGTATACATGGTGTAATAAAGGATGTGGGAGCCCAAATCCATAGGAATTTGAGAGGTTAGGAATTGTATTATTATTCAGGCCCTTCACTCTCAGCCTACCCTGCTCTATTTGAATAATGAGGCTTGTGGTGGTCTGTGGAAGAGTGGACAGAGTAGAATTTGGACAGCTGCTGAAGGTTTGGTCTCTAGAATGAGTCCACGTTACCCTAAGCACAGTAATCCCAAATTGAGACAAAAACTTTAAGAAAACCAATGTTTGGGGCCAAGCAATGGAGAGCTTGGCCGACTTCATTTTTTAGTCATTTTGAACTCAATATTTAAAATCCTGGAGGAAAAGGAAAAAAAGGGTGTATATTTGTGTAATGACACCCAGATCTCACTGTTCTCTTGGCTCCTGGTGATGAGGGGAGAAAAGGTGCACCCAGGGTTGACCCTTCAGTAACACCGGCAGCCATGCGTCATGACCTCCAGGTCTTCAGAGGCCCTGCCCATGTGGCACGTGCCTGGTACTTCCCACACATGGGCCTCTGTAATCCTAACAAACCTGGCGTGAAATCTGGCTGTGCCTCTTGCTCGCTGTGTGACCTTTTGACTTTAAGTTTCTTAAAGTTTCTGAGCCTCACTTTTCTTATCTGTGAAATGGGGATCACTCCTATTTCTAAGAATTGAAAGCACACATTCTCAAACTTCAGTGTGCCCCTGAGGCATGTGGTGTGCTTGTTGAAAAGGCAGATTTCTGGACCTACCTCTAGTGATTCAGACTTAGTAGGTATTGAGTGGGGCCCTGGCATCTACATTGTTTATGTAAGTAATTCTCCACACTTAGAGAAACACTTAAGACTCTAGCAGGGATTGCCACACCTTTTTTTATCTTGTACCAGTTATCAATAAAAAGTACTGCACACACCCTTAATATAAGCACTTTTACAACCATACCATCTTCTAATATGTTCTATGCTTTATAGTATTTAGCAATACTAAGATGAAGTAACAACATATCAGAGCATTAATTTTTTTTTTCACACCCCTGGGATACGTGAAACCTACTTTGAAAACCACTGGTTTAGAAGATCAGATGAACTAGTACATATAAAAGCTCTCTGTAAATAGACAAAACTGGGCATATATACATATATATGTGTGTGTGTATATATATGTGTATATGTATGTGTGTGTATGTGTGTGTGTGTGTGTGTGTGTATATATATATTTTTTGTTTTGTTTTTGTTTTTTGACACAGAGTTTTGCTCTTGTTGCCCAGGCTGGAGTGCAATGGCACGATCTTGTCTCACCGCAACCTCTGCCTCCTGCCTCCAAGCGATTCTCCTGACTCACCCTCCCGGGTAGCTGGGATTACAGGCATGTGCCACCACGCCCAGCTAATTCTGTATTTTTACTAGAGACAGGGTTTCTCCATGTTGGTCAGGCTGGTCTCGAACTCCCTACCTCAGCTCATCCGCCCACCTTGGCCTCCTAAAGTGCTGGGATTACAGGCGTGAGCCACCATACCCAGCCCGGGCCAATATTTTTGAAAGCACATAGAGCATCCACATGAGTGTGAAGCACACACTTACAATACAAGCCCACCTGCAAATGCACTCAACACCACTGACCTGCAGCTCTTCCTCCTCACCTGTGCTGCCCTCTGAGCCTTGTTCCTAGGATACTTCTGTATTTACTGCCTTTAAGCGTTTTGGAATAGTTAATGTAGAACTAAGGTAGAATATGACCTAGAGACCAAAAGGCAGGCAAAGAATTTTACTTATCTCCCTAATCAAAACTACACATTCCAAACTAAAATGAGTGAGGCCATAGAGGCACAGGCTAATTAGAATACTTGTTTAGTCAGAATCTGGCTACTTTGAAAGCACAACAATGCAATTTCTCTTGACATAAATGACCAACTTAAAAAAAATCCCAGAAAAATAATTCCATTTCTAGGTCCAACTAATTCTTTTTCATTCTCCAAAATATTCCTAAAGCTATGGAGAATGGTAAACCTCAGGATTTACATAAATCAGGAAGAGTTCACAGGCCACAGAAGGTCCATAACCTCTACTCATCGGCCGATGTGCTGCTCTTTCTGTCTTAGATGTTGATGCTTAGAAAGGAAACAAAAGCTTTACCAATTTCTGAATACACAAGATCTAGGGTCTAAGGTTTTCATGGCATCAGCCAGGGTGACAAACCATCAAGGACTGTTGTGGTTTTTAAATTAAAATTTATAGGGGCTGGGTGCGGTGGGTCATGCCTGTAATCCCAGCACTTTGGGAGGCCGAGGCAGGCAGATCACTTGAAGTCAGGAGTTCAAGACCAGCCAGGCCAACATGATGAAACCCTGTCTCTACTAAAAATACAAAAATTAGGGCTGGTGGTGCTCGCCTGTAATCCCAGCTACTTGGGAGGGTGAGGCAGGAGAATTGCTTGAACCCAGGAGTCAGAGGTTGCCATGAGCCGAGATCATGCCAGTGCACCCCAGCCTATATATATATAATATATAATACAGATTATAATATATATATAAAACTCCTCCTACAGCTACTTTTCTGCAAATAACTCATGAGTTCTTTTTGTTGGTTTGGTTGGTTGACTGCAAATGACAGAAACCCAAAGTAGATAACAAAAGAATATCCTTGAATGTTCTGTTCTAGGAAATAAAGTGCAACTGTGTCTCAAAAAAAAAAAAAAAAAAAAAGTTTACAGGAAAAAAATGTATAGAGAAAAAAATCTACAAAGACACTACTTCAAAATAATTTGCCAAATATTAACATAGAAATTGTATTCAGTAATTAATTTCTGGGAGCCATCAAGTTATGGGTTTCGGTATTTTGTTGTTGTTGTTAGTATTTTTATAGGTATGACTATAGTTTAACGTTTTCAATACTGCTGTGTGTTAAACACCAAGCTCAGCCAGCCTCATTCTAAGTCCTGCACGGGAATCACCTCACTGAAGTATACCGTGACGCCATGAGCTGTAGGTATGACTGTTCCCATTTCACACATGGGAAAATGGAGGCTCAAACAGCTAAATAACTCATCCAGAATCACACAACCAGACAGTGGCAGAATCTCAGCTGAACCCAGATTGAACAACAAACCAGTGCCTTTATTTATTTATTTATTTATTTATTTATCTATTTATTTATTTATTTTTGAGATGGAGTCTCGCTCTGTCACCCAGGCTGGAGTGCACTGGTGTGATCTCAGCTCACTATAACCTCTGCCTCCCAGCTCCAAGCGATTCTCCTGTCTCAGCCTCCCGAGTAGCTGGGATTACAAGCGGTGCCACCATGCCCAGCTAATTTTTTTTGTATTTTGGTAGAGACAAGGTTTCCCTGTGTTGCCCAGGCTGGTCTCGAACTCCTGAGCTCAGGCAATCCACCCGCCTTGGCCTCCCAAGGTGCTAGGATTACAGGCGTAAATCACTAGCCCAAACGCGTGCTTTTAAAGATGACGTAATACGCCTCTCTGTGGCAACATCTGTGTTGCCCTCAGACAAAGACAAGGGCTGAAGCAAAATGTGAGACAACCCAATTTTGTATACGTAAAATTATATGTATTGTCAATTGGGAATAAAAGGGGGTTTTGTTCTGGTTCTAAGGAAGATTGTAATAAAGAATAGAAAAGTTAGTCAAGGCCTTGTAACCATAATAGGTCTGTGGCCCAATGTGCAGCAAGTGAATAGCTGAGACGCAGGGCTGCAGCAGAGCGAGAGGTGAATGGGACGGCCACTGAGCGAGGAGGTGTAAGGAAACCTCAAATCTGACTCCCTGAGGAGTCTGGGGCTAGGCATTGTAAAGGGTTTGGAGTAAGCCCTAAGTGTGGTGATAGATTGGTCGAAGAGTGCAGGGTGAAGTCACCGGACAGGGTGATGAAGAAACTGTATTCTCATGCTGATCCCGTTTGTCTGGGTGGGCTTCAAATCGGTTGGCTGTCAGCTGTTTCACTGGAATTTGGGGGAAAACACCTTTAGCAATTCTAACAGAAGCTTTATGATTCTAATGTCAGAAATCCTATCTATAGCAACAATGGGGATGCAGATGGTCAGGATCTAGTGCTACTACAGGACTTTTGGTGACAAGGAAGTGGGCCAAAGTACAGCCTGATTAATGCTTAATCCAGAATTCTCGTTAACCCTGTGAGGACAGCTTCAGCTTTGCCTGTGAAATCTCTGAGACTGTCTACTGTCAATGGTATCTTTATGGCAATCCTAGGACCATGAATTTCCTTTCCCTAGAAAGGATGAGACAGATCCGGGGGCCATATGTCTATGTCCCCACCCATGAACCACTCCTACATAGCTTAAGATTCCTTTCCTCAGTTTCATCATCTGTATAGTGGAGGTGGTGGCTATGCCTCTCTCTGGGCCATAATGAGATTTAAATGAGATAAAAAGTGTTTAGCACGCACGCAGACAAAGTAAACAGTAAGTGTTAGATGTAAGTTTGTCCGAGTACAGTGGCTCACGTCTGTAAACCCAGCACTCTGGGAGGCCTAGGCGGGCGCATCACTTGTTGTCAGGAATTCAAGACCAGCCTGGCCAACATGGCAAAACCCCGTCTCTACTAAAAATATAAAAATTAGCCAGGCGTGGCGGTGGGCACTTGTAATCCCAGCTACTCTGGAGGCTGAGGCAGGAGAATTGCTTGAACCCAGGGGGTGGAGGTTGCAGTGAACTGAGGTCGCACCACTGCACTCTAGCCTGGGTGACAGAGCGAGACTCCATCTCAAAAAAGAAAAAAAGTTACATGTCATTTTATTATCCAGTGAAGGTCATTGGCCCACTTTTATGAGTAACACTCAATGCTTTTTTAAATAACTAGATCTTTGTTGCTACCCACCAAAGCTGTATGAATCACTTCTAATAATACTGATTTCTAAACTGGGTAAGTTCTGTTCTACCTACATCATTAATAATCATCTAAAGGCAAAAATGCATCTTGGGGGCACTTCAATTTTAGTGTATTTTTATTCTCATTATCTTCATCATTTAACAATTGTAGAACACACGGGAATGTATCCTTTCAGTTTTAAGTCACATTACATTTGAAGTGAATATTTATAGCATTAATATTGACCTTTTCTTTTATCTTTCCCCTTGCCCCAAATAAGATTTTATAAAATAAAATGCATTTTTAATACAAAACAGAAACCATGGAAGGTTTGGCAGGGTTGATTGGTTATTTTGGAGAGGTTGTGTCTGGCTTGGTTTTTATTTAGTATGGGAGTTGTGTGTGTGTGCGTGCGTGCGTGTGTGTGTGTGTGTGTGTGTAGTTTTTGTTTGATTTGGTCAACATTAAGATACTCATCTGTAATAAGTAAACCCATATATTTTTTCAATTTGGGAGTAATGTTATGATTTCAAGAATATTTTGTCTATGCTTTCTCAGCTAGATTAACTTGGGAATGAAAATAAATTGAGTTACTGGTCGATCTGGTTCATTCAACATCAGTCAAGGCAAGAAAGTTGGCCGGGCACGGTGGCTCACGCCTGTAATCCCAGCACTTTGGGAGGCCGAGGTGGGCGGATCACGAGGTCAGGAGATGGAGACTATCC